CCCCCCCCCCCCCCCTTTTTCTTCTTCTTTTCTGATTTTCCGGCTGACTGGTTATGTCACCGCCGGCGAGGACCAAAAGCGGGAATGGCGGCGTAGATAAGCAGTATCCTCCGCCGCTTGCCACCCACGATGAAGTTGTTTCTGACCCCATTGTTTTTTGGGACACTTTGAGGCGTTTCCATTTTATGATGAACACAAAGTTCATGTGAGTCACACATACTTTCTTCTTCTTCTTCTTCTTGTGAATGAAATAAAGTAGCTTGATGGTATATTCATGGCGTATCCAGAACCACAAAACACCGCACTTTTACACTTTTCCGGTGTAAGAAATTTTTAATAAAATACAAGGCGGTCTCCTAATGGCTACTTTTGGCTTTCTTTGAATATTTTAAAGGATTCCTGTGATTGGAGGGAAGGAGCTAGACTTGCATGTTTTATATTCAGAGGTTACAAGAAGGGGCGGGCACGAAAAGGTAAGATTTGGGGCTTGGTCTTCCATTTTCAACAAAAAGCTTCTTCTGGGTTTCAGAGATGGAGTTTGTGTGAATCCATTGTCATGGCGGTGTAGGTTGTTGCAGAGAAGAAATGGAGGGAAGTTGGAGGTGTCTTCAAGTTCTCTCCTACAACCACCAGTGCTTCCTTTGTATTGAGAAAACATTATCTCAGTCTTCTCTACCACTACGAGCAAGTTTACTTGTTCCGCCGCCAGGGCCCCATCTGCGCCCCTCAAGGTGCCTTCTTTTTGTTCTCTCCTTCCCTTCTTTTTTTCCTTTTTTATAAACTTTATCCGCTTCTCCCACATCGGATTTGCTGTAACTCTGATTTCGCTTTTGTCTTCCTTTTTCTTTTTTCTACACAGCGCCATTTTCTTTCGGTAGCCCTACCAGCGAAAACGAATTGGCTCTGGTGGAATATGCCCCCAAAACAACGTCGTTTTCGCCTGGTCCGCCTGCTGAAGGTGACAAACCTTTTACTTTCACTTCTATTAATTCCTCTCTCTTTTCTTTGTGGGGTCCAGCTGTAAAGGTTATACAGTTCCCAACAATGGCTTCTATATAACTGACCCATTCCCACGTTTTATCTCTTCAAAATCTGTCTTCTTTTTTTTTTTGGGTGTTTTTCAGTCACTGGAACAATTGATGGGAAATTCGATTGTGGCTACCTGGTGTCTGTGAAGTTGGGATCTGAGGTTCTGAGGGGAGTTCTTTACCATCCAGAGGAGCCTACCCCGTCGGATCTCCGGCCCCAACCTACCAACGCCATTGTACCGTACACTGGTACCACACATCGACACTCTGGTCGGCGGCACCGGAGGAGCCGGAGAAAGGGAGACCCCAACCACCCCAAACCAAACAGAAGTGGCTATAATTTCTTCTTTGCAGAGAAGCATTACAAGCTCAAATCTCTGTACCCTAACAGAGAGAGGGAGTTCACCAAGATGATTGGAGAGTCTTGGAACAACCTCAGCCCTGAAGAAAGGATGGTATGTCTGCCAAGCCTTTTCTCTCGAGGTTTCAGCAGCTTTAAACTTTGGTGGTTTGATCAAATGGGTGTTCTATCTACTTTATTATTAGGTTTATCAAAACATTGGGCTGAAAGACAAGGAGAGGTACAAGAGAGAGTTGAAAGAGTACAAGGAGAAAATGAGGCTGGCAAGTGATGATGTTCATGCAGCTAACTATTCAAAACAGGGAGAGTAGAAGAGGGAAGGGAATTCAGCAGTTTGTAGGTTCTTTTTGAGGTTGGGATCTGCTGCTGAAGTTTATATATGATAAAGATTTTGTATCATATCCTCCTACTCCTAACTTTATATGGCATACCATTACCATAGGTTCTCACATCCGAAGTGCTTGGCCTCAAGTTTTACACCCACTTCGAAGTTCACTCTGGAACTGTCATTTTATAGTTTCTTCAAACTTTTTGCTTCTTCTTTACCCATGGGATGGTGAGATCCTTCTTATTTTTCTTTTTTTGTCCTTCCTTGGAGTCAGAGACATCAGATGCTCTATGAAGACCCTTCATCCAAGGACGAGGAAGCCAACTAAATGAGCAGCTTTAGAAGATAGGCTTCTTCCTTCTGGGCTGCCACATTAGAGTAGAATATGCCATCGGTCAAATGATAAATGAGATTTGCAGTAATCTAAAGTTTTGTTTGAAGTCACTATTAGATTGTTTCAGTTCTCAATTTTCATTCAATATGTTCGAGAATTTTTACTCTATAAAGATATTATTTAAACATTCATGTAAGGATAATGACTTAGCTTTTGAAAGAATTAATTGTAATTTTCTTAAAGAATTGCTTCTACAAACATGGTCAGAAACAATGGATCAAAAATACGTAAGAACATAAGAATGGGGTTGCTTAGACAATTTAATGTCGTGGGCATTAGAATACCTACCGATGTGTGCGCAAGGACAAGGACAAGGACAAGGACAACCATTGACTATTTAGACTTGTAGCAGGTCCGTTGAGGTCAAATAACAACCAAGGGGTTTTGGCCAAGAGGTTTTCTCTTAAATTGCTTCCGAATCTTCCCTTTTGGTTGCGCTAGGGTGCGTCCATCCTCCAATGTCAATGCAAAGGTTGTTTGTTTCAGTCGTGGAATGGCTCAATTCAATTTTGAGTTTCGCTAAACTTATGAGGCTAAACAAATATCTCGACTAGTTTAAAGCAAAAGCATGAGTTTAGTACATAGATAGTGAGGGTAGGGAATAAATGTTTCAACTCTGCCATATGGTTTAGGTCATAAGTTCAAGGTAGAGGATTTGGGATTTTAAGTCTAAAAACAAGCTATACAATTTTACATATCATAATGTTTATGCGAGCTCAAACTTCTATAACTCATTCACTGCACAGTTCAAAACCAGTTACAAAAGTCGTGCGAACTCAAGCTTACTCAATTTGTGTTTGAGAATCATACCCCGAAGTGTCTGTTCATGTGCATTTGTTGAGACCGTGAAAGAAACGGTGTTTTCTCCTTCGAGAATGCCTTCTGGAATTCTTTGACATGACATACGGGACAAAATGCACCTGCAACACGTTTTTGTTCTCTGTATATTATGATTGAATTTTCAGCCTGGATAGAATTTCTAATACTTTGACATGATTTCTGCTGGTTAGAATGTCAATCGGATCATACAAGGTTTAGGAAATAACCTGAGAATTATTACGGATTCCAAAATCCTGAAGCGCAGAGCTATCATCAAGAATCTTCTCGTTGTGGTGTGCTAGGCAAAAATTTGCCCACACATGCTTCCTGCAGATCCACAAGCGAAAGACTTCTCATCAATGCACAAAGATCATTGTACGATTAGCTAAGAAAGCTATCTACTAATCACTTTTTATGGTTGAATTCACCAAAAATGAAGAAAGAGTACCATGAAATGTGGCGATGTCCCATCTTGGATTGCTCCATCTCGTTTACTTTCTTCTTGATAGCGAGCTTCAAGTCCTTCAACAAGGCGGAATTCATGATCGCCACATCTAAAGCATGAACAAGATCGCAAATCGCATTTCAGCAGTTCTATAAACCAAGTGTTTGTGAAAATGCCAGTTGAGAAAGAGGAGGAACATTAGAAAAGTGTGTGTACCAATTATGGTGCCGTCGAGCTTAAGGACAGAGATGCGCATGGCGCTGCCCAATTCGAGGCTGATGAGCGTATCAACGTCCAGTAAGGTGGGCTTCTTGGGGACATCCGCCAGGATAGGATCGTCAAGCAAAGCAGTGAGAGTTGAATTTAACCTAACTTTCTTCACGTTGGTGCTGTGGTAACCTACGACATTCTCCTCTTCTTTACTGCTGGACTTCAATGATACATCTCCGTCCTCCTTCATCGCTACACAGTTATGATTTCTATCACTCTTTAACATAAATTCACTTCAGCAAATCAGCATTATCTATAACTTTTGCAGCAAGCCTAATTAATTTTCACAGTTACATATTTCTATATAACTATCAGTACAAACTATTGACTTGATATGTTTAAATCATGATTTGATGGACACAGATAGCATATACGAGAAATTAGATTTTAACTTCCAATCATCACGATGAGTTATTGGTCATCAAATATTTGAATCAATGTATTTTTTTTTTTTAATAAAAAAGAATGCCATCCTATTTCCAAAGGTTATATAAGCAAAAATTTTAACATCCCAAACAACAAATTTCGAAAAACTTCTTAGAAAGTTCAATCAAAGACTAAAAGGTTAAACCTCACCTAAATTCACAAGGGAAAATTGACCGGATCGTTCACCGTCGGAGTACAGCGGAGGGAAGGAGTCAGTCTGCGCTGTTCGTCGGAGGTGCCTGTGCGTTATGGAGGTGGCGAATCTGACTGTTCCTGCCGAAATCGAACTCACCGTCAATGCCGAAATGTGGAACTGCAGGGCTGCCGATGAGAGCTGACTGACCTTTAGGTCACCACTGACTCATCGCCAGAACGTGTGAATCGGAGAGAAATCTCGGTTGGATACCGTTCGCGCCGCCGGATCTGCTACAGGAAGCGTCGGAGGTGGTGGAACTGCGCGTGACTGCCGCTGGAGGGTACCGCCGCGCGGTTCTTCAGTTTCCGGGTATGGTCGGGAACTGCTGCGCCGCCGTCTGAAGTAATCGCCGTGGCCGTGGACCGCCGCCCCCAACTTCGGCTATGTGGGTGCTGGAATTGGAGGCAGAGGTAAGAGGAGGTGTGTTTGCGTGGGTGAAGGAGGGAAATAACAAAGAGGAGTGAGAGAGGGGTTTTCTTTGGATTTTAAAGAAGTAATATATATACTCTCACTTTTTCTTATAAAAAATAATTGAATTTAACTTTTCAATCATAATTTAGTTTCAATTGAAAATAATAAAAAAATCTGAAATCATTTTATTTTACATTTTAAATTAAAAAAATCCAAAACTTTCTAAATCAAATTTCCATTTTCCTAACTAGTTAGATACCATTTATAATAGTTTAAGCTTACTTGGTGAACGAAAAAAAAAAAAAAATCAATTTCACGTTCAAATAATGTACAAAATGGCTAAAATGAGAGTTAGGTTTGAAATGACTTTTGAAGTAAAATGACACTTACAATAAGTCCCGAAAGAAAGGCAACATAGAGTAGATTGTGGTCATGTTGAGTCTAAAATTGTGACAATCTCTTGAACCAGCGCAGCTCTCCTGTTCCACCTCTCTTTCATGTTCTGATGGTTCAATTTGTGCGTAAGACCCACCGACATCCTCACCTTCTCAAGATCTTCAACATCCTTCATCACAATCTGTGGATCTGGGTGCCATTGCTCGCCCATGCTCTCAACATACCTGCATACATTCACTCATCAAACCCATTACACTTTCTATTCTCTCCAATTCTATATCCGCCCAAATCCACTACTAGCACATATTATTAGTTTTGGGCCGTTACATATCTTCGTCAGCCTTTAAAACACGTCCGATAGGGAGAGGTTTCCACACCCTTATAAAAAATGTTTCGTTTTCCTCTCCAACCGATGTGGGACCTCACGGTCCACCTCCTTGGAGTCCAGTGTCCTCACTGGCACATTGCCCCGCTCTGATACCATTTGTAACGCCGTCAACCTTTAAAAACGCATCTACTAGGGAGGGAGATATTTCCACACCCTTATAACCCTTATGACGAATGCTTCGTTCTCCTCTCCAACTCCAACGGTTGTGGGACCTCACAAATTATGAGAGCCAAATCCATAGATACTCTATTCCAAATTCAAGCATACCTGGTTATCCGTTCTTTCAAAAGGGCAACTTTCTCCCATGGAGTAGAGATGTGGATATAGAAGTCAACTCCCTCTCCCATGTCTGGACTACGGTAGTAATTGCCAATGGCTTTGGTAGCCAGCACACTGTTGGGGTAGCTGATCCTTTGATTATCATATCTCAGGAAAACTGTTGTTAATATCTTCATCTCTTCAACAACCATCTGGAAAACCGAAGAAAGTTAAGAATGCGTCACTAAGAGCAAAACAAATTGTTTGGCTAGAGAGTTTTGCACCTCGACGCCGTCCACTTCGCAGCGATCGCCAACGTCGAATGGGTGCATCACAAACAAGAAAATGATAGCTTCAAAGACCGTCTTACATGTGTTGCCAAAAATAAAAGCTAGAAGAAGAAGCTGTGAAGTTATGAAGATGAGGAAGTGCAAGACGGGAGTTCCAAATATGATAAGCCAGATTACCAAAATTGTTAAAGCTACAAAGACGTTTAGCAAGTTGTGAAGATCATCAACAGCTGTATTTGCATCATTGAGAGATAGAACAAGCACTTTTCTCTGCTTAAATGCATTAACCTGAAACACATCAAAGAAAAATAAAATATATCCATTACATTGCTGTTTAGGTTAAGAATTCTTAGTATATACACATCTAAATGGTTTCGGCATCGTTTTGGGCTTTCCCTTTCAGGCTTCCCTTTAAGGTTCTTAAAACGTGTTTGATAGGGAGAGGTTTCCACACCCCTACAAAGAATGCTTCGTTCCCCGCTCCAACCAATGTGGGATCTCATAATCTCCTCTCCCCTTTGGGACCCAACGTCTTTGCTGGTACACCGCCCGGTGTCTGGTTTTGATACCATTTATAACAGCCCAAGCCCACCGTTAGCAGATATTGTCCTCTTTTGGGCTTTCCCTCTCGGGTTTCCTCTCAAGGTTTTTGAAACGCGTCCGTTAGGAGAGGTTTCCACACCCCTACAAAGAATGCTTAGTTCTCCTTTCCAACCGATGCGGGATCTCACAATCCACCTCCCTTCGGGCCCAGCGTCCTCGCTAACACTTATTCCCCTCTTCAATTGATGTGGGATCTCACAGTTTCACACCCAAGTGCACCGCTAACAGATATTATCCTTTTTAGGCTTTCCCTTCCGGACTCCCAATCAAGGTCTTAAAACGCATCCACTCAGGTTTCCACACCCTTATAACGAATGTTTCGTTCCCCTCTCCAACCAATGTAGGATCTCACCGCATGTGAGTATAGTGACATGAGAGTGAGAAAGTGAGTTTAGTATTCATAAAGACTTTTTCCTCCAGAGGCTTTCTCTTCTAAAGCTAACGAAATGGGTCGGGTTTTAAGGTTGACTTTAGGACTATTTCTCATTGAAAAACATATAGGGGTAGGAGGGTAAGGTACCATGCATTTTGAGTAAGGACATTTGGAGTTTCATAAATTTGACATAGATAGAAACGTCTTATAAGCTTTAATTAAAACATCAACCTCCAAATATATCATCTTCATTACACAGCAAAACAGAACAAGGCAAGTAGAGTCAAGGGCAGGGCCTTACCATCCACTCTCTAAAAGAGGACTCATCAATGCATTGAGTTTCAGCGGTTGTTCCAAATAAACTCATCGTCACTAAAGCTTCCTCTTTATTCATAAATCGCATTACATCTTCTATATAAATACAGCTGCAACAAACATAGCTCACATCATGCAATGAAATTGAATATTCATGAAAGAAACAACGAATTCAAACAGAGAACTCACTCTGACCCACGTTGGGCCACTCGCCGGAAAATCCTCCCAGCTGCCTCTTTCGCCTGCCGTTCATTCCTAATCTGCAACAAAGATTGTTCTTCCGTCTCCGACAGTATCTTCTCATCAAGAGTTAACAAAGCTCCATTTCTTACAATATTCATCATTCTCCTCATATTCCAAGCTGATATATTCTTCTGGTTCAGTTTATTTAACTCATCAACTGGGATTTCCTCATCTTTTCTTTTTGATTCTACCTTCAATTGTCTCCAGCCATTGCAATTTACGAGTCTGCCACTGCATACAACTCTGCCACTTTTGGAACTTTCTGCTTTTCCATCGCCAATTTGTTCATCCTTCATCATATCTTCAGAATTTGGCCTCTCAAACAATGGCAAACCAGAGAGCGTCACGATCACGTACTGACTGAACAAAGCCTCCTTAAGCCTTTCGAAGTAGTTATTAACGTGGAAAAACGAAGCCAGAATCTTAATGACAAGCGTTTTCAGAAGCCATATCGAAGCAGCCACGAGAAAACAGATCAAAATCTTGGTGACATAAGGCAAGATCTTACTCTGCGTCTTTCTCTGAACCTTGTCGTTGAAGATGAAATGCCAAACAAGCAAAATCAGAGACATCCACAGGCAATTTTTTACAGCCTTTCTCAATCCATAAACGAAATACAGAACCCGTTTCCTTAACAGGAAATTCATCTCGATGATTTTCACCATCAATCCAACGGCCATAGATGAAACCATATGTCCACAGATTACCGCTAGAACAGTCAACTCCCATTTCCACAGCGGAAGACCCCAAAACGTCTCCCGCTTTAAGATTGAAATCCATCGATTACAAATCAAACTCACAATAATGAGAACAAAAACTACCAACTGGAAACCTAATAAGGGGCTTAACTTCAGTTGATTGTACTCTTCAGGCATATCCTCGGTGCCGTCTTGATTATTGTTGTTGTTACCCTCATCTTTCACGGCGGTTTCCAGCTTTTGAGAAGAATCATCCTCAGGAGGATCCATCAACCGAGACTTCTTGCTAATCGGTGAGCTCCATGAACTTCCAGAAAACGAATAGTTGGAACTGCAACGGAGAACCTCGCCGCCGCTGGAGCCCGAGGACGGCTGGCGGTTTTCCGGCTCGGAAAATTCTTTACCTCTTCGTCTCATGGTTTGCAAGGATCTCTCTGGTAAACACTGGAACTTCTTCTCCACTAATTCCTTGTCGCCATTTCCAAAACTGTTGACCTTGAGGATAACATCTTCCTTTGGGGCCATTTAAAAAACAATGGGTTGATTCTCAATTCTAAACGCGCATAAATACAGGTTGAGTACCATTTCAGAAGTTCCACTGTTGAAGAAAGACGAAATACACTCGAGCGCATAAAGCATATGTGGGACAGCAATGGCGGAAAGGTAAAGCGGTTTGAGTGGAAAGGGCGCGCGTCAAGGAATCAGAGAATCTGGAGTGTAGAAAGACGGGTGATTTTGTAGCGATTTTGTAGCGATTTTGTAGGAAATGGCGGCAAAACTATCATCTTTCCTCTTTTTGCTTTCCTTATTTCACTTTCACGAAGGCCTTTTATGGCCCAACAGAAAACTTTTGAAAGCCCGTCACCGATTGCTCCAACAAATGCGAGAATTACACTGCTATAGCGTGTAAATACAATATTCTATTCAAATTCATACCATTATCAGATTTTATTTATTATTTTTCTTTTTTTAAATATGTTTGAATAAAGTTTAAAAAGTTCATACCACAATATTTTATTTCTTGTTTTTGCAAAATTTATCATTTTTCCAAGAATTGGACTCCACAAATAATTTTTATTTGTTTATTATTCTTTTAAAAAAATATTTATTCTAAAGTTTTCATTTTTCCAATATAATCTTTATTTAAAAGTGATAAGGAAAAACATAAGAAATCAAGCAAAATATCATTTTTAAAATTTAAAAATTTAATATTATATCCTAATTTGTAATAGATAGTCTTTCGTTTTAATTTTTTTTCTAACTAAGTAATTTATTTGTTTAATATATTATATATTTATTAAGTTGGACAGGATGGTGATCGAAAATATAATCTCATTTCTTGTTTCATTTATCGAAACGAGTAATTCGCTCGCCCATAAATTAAATATCTTTATTTACAAATTACATAATTTCACAACTACTCACCAACAATTATTTTATATTTGTTTATTTAATTACTGTCATTTTCTACATCTATTTTTTAATTTCAAGATTTAAACTATAAATTAAATCCAAAATTTGACCATCCTTTAATTTAAAAAATACAAAACCACTGAAAACAAATTTAACTAATTTATAGATTACTGTTATGTTTAATTCCTTTTTAGTCCAAACAAAAATAAAAACAACAATAAAAAAATAAAAAAATTTGAAGAGGAGGAGAGAAGGTTATCCCATGCCACGTCATAGGGTGGAATCCAAATGAGCCAATCAGAATCACCCATTGCATTATCCGGCGTTTGATGTTAGAAGCCACTCATAGCTCATCCACTCACTCCCACTCTCAAAACCACACAAATCCATCCCTTTCCCCTTCCTTATAAACCACTTCCCCTCTCTTCTCCTCCTTGATCATTACCAAAATTTCCAATTCCTACTCTATATCCATGGCCACCGTCACCTCCGCCACCGTTGCCATCCCCACCTTCACCGGCCTCAAGTCCCCCGCCACCGCCTCCAAACCCACCGCCGCCGTCCGCGTCTCCTCCCCCGCGGTCCCCAAGCTGACCGTCAGGGCCTCTCTGAAGGACATTGGCGTGGCCGTGGCCGCCACCGCCGCCAGTGCCCTCCTGGCCTCAAACGCCTTGGCCATTGAGGTCTTGCTAGGCGGTGACGACGGATCTCTAGCCTTCATTCCAAACGATTTCTCGGTGGCGGCCGGGGAGAAAATCGTGTTCAAGAACAACGCGGGTTTCCCACACAACGTGGTGTTCGACGAGGACGAAATCCCAAGCGGAGTGGACGCCGGCAAGATCTCGATGAACGAGGAAGATCTTCTTAACGCCCCCGGCGAGGTCTACGAAGTCAATCTCACCGAGAAAGGAAGCTACTCCTTCTACTGTTCGCCCCATCAAGGAGCTGGAATGGTCGGCAAAGTCACCGTTAACTGATCATTCATTTTTCTCTGTATTCTTCTTTTTTCCATTAAAAAAAATATGTTATTTTAAGTTCAATGTCTTCTCTTCTTTTTTTTTTTTCTTTCCGTTCCACCCAGAGACTGCACGCTGTAGAGCTTCAAGATCCTTCGTATATCAGAATCGTAAACCACCGTTAATGTAATATAATGAATCTGTTACTCTCTTCTCTGCTCTCCGTGGGCTTGCTTTCCGGCCCATTTCGGATTTACGGCCCACTTGAATATAATCATTTTTTTATTTTTCTTAAATAAATATTTCAATTATATAAAAAGGTAAAATGCGAAATTAGTTTGTTTGAATCAGTGTTGGGCCAAGTTTATGATGATAATGCAAGGGGGAAAACTCATAAAAATTAATAATAATAATAAATAAATAAAATTAACCTACGGCTTATTAATTATAGCTCATTTCTAGTAATCCACTCACAATGAAAGCAGTAGTTTAAAGCATAAAAACAAAGAGATTGATTTAATAAACATTAAAATAGAAAAAGGAAGCTTTATGAAACAAGATTCCACGTGATTGCCAAGCCATCAAAACCCGGCAGACATCCACGTCAGCACTGCTATTTTCAATGAAGCTAAAACGCTTCGTTTTTATCGACAATAAATTACAATTACCAAGTTTTTAATTGTTTCTAATTACCCAACCCAGCCATCCAACAAAGCTCGTGATCTGTCAGTCATCGCACATGTATTTTTTTTACGTTTTTAAATTCGAATAATGTTATTTATATATTTTTACACAACGGAAATAACGTGTAAACACGTTCAGCTTTATTATTATTTTTTAAAACATCGATTTAAATCTCATTCATTTGAGTTGCATTTTATTTTTATTTTAATATCTCCCCTTTTAAATCTGAGAGTTGATTTTACTTCAAATTCGACTATAAACTCTATAATTTCTACTTCCAATTCATTAATATTGAATAAGGTTCCTAACATTAATTAAAGATTTTATTATTAGTGTTAATTTTACTTCATTAATTAACATTTAAGCCGAATACTAAACAAATGTAAGAATATCTTTTGAAATATAAATATTAAATATTCATAGTTTTTCTTTTGCTTAAAATGTAATCTAATTTAATGGGCATTAGTTTTAGCTTATACTTTTTAAGTGTTTGGCACCCACCATGAAGAAAAAAAGAGAAAAAATTATATTTATTTTGTATAATGGGATAAAAATAAAATGGATCATGAATTATAATATCTCCTCATGTATTAAAAACATTATAATTAAAATGAGAGATGCACTAGGGAGCTTCCCACTCACTTGTTTTATAATAATAATAAATTATTATTATTATTATATTTATTATTGTGCTGTCAAATACTAAAAAACATTTCTTCGGCTGTGATCCCACGCAGGCGCAACTCACGTGCCACTCCCATTGACAGCGCATTAAAACAGCTTCCTTTCCAAGGTTGGCAGTCTTCACAAAAATTCCTCCCCCTTTCCCTTCCCTCCTCCTCTCCTACGGAAATGGAGTTTCTCCCTCTTTTCATCACCGGAACTCTGGTAGCCGCCACCCTTTACTGGTTCTTGTTCATCTATGGCTCCGCCGAGCGCCAAGGCAAGCTTGCCGTCAATCTATCCGGCGGCTCAATCTCCTCCGAGAAGATTCAGGATAAATACAAACAGTACTGGTCCTTTTTCCGCCGCCCAGAGAAGATCGAAACCGCTGAAAAAGTCCCTGATTTCGTAGATACCTTTTACAATTTGGTGACCGACATCTACGAGTGGGGCTGGGGTCAGTCCTTCCATTTTGCCCGTCCCATCCCTGGAAAGTCCGACAAAGAAGCCACACGCCTCCACGAAGAAATGGTTGCCGACCTAGTCAAGGCCAAACCCGGAGATCGAATTCTGGATGTGGGATGCGGCGTCGGTGGCCCCATGCGCTCCATCGCCGCCCATTCCAAGGCCAACGTGGTCGGAATCACCATTAACGACTACCAAGTCGGACGCGCTAGATTGCACAACAAGAAGGCCGGACTGGACGCGCTCTGTGAAGTGGTGTGTGGGAACTTTCTAGAAATGCCGTTTTCGGAGGGGACGTTCGATGGGGCTTACGCGATTGAAGCGACGTGTCACGCGCCGAAGCTTGAAGATGTATACACGGAGATTTACAGGGTATTGAAGCCGGGTTCGCTGTTTGTTTCGTTGGAGTGGGTTTCCACGGATAAATACGACACCGCCAATCCAGAGCATGTCAAGATCATTGAGGAGATTGCGAGAGGGAACGCTTTGCCTGGCGTCAAATCCTACGATGACGTGGCCAAGGCTGCTAAGAAAGTGGGATTTCAGGTTTTGAAAGAGGAGGATCTGGCCAAGCCGCCGGCGCTTCCCTGGTGGGGCCGATTGAAAATGGGCCGACTCGCGTACTGGAGGAACCATATCCTCGTCACGGTTCTCGCCGCCTTCAGAATCGCCCCCAAAGGGACTCTGGAAGTCCATGAAATGTTGGTGGAGGCTGCCGATTATTTGACACGAAGTGGCGATGCTGGAATCTTCTCGCCGATGCATTTGATCGTGTGTAGAAAGCCGGAATCCTCTAAATCTTGTTAAGAGTAGTCGGGGGCGCTGGTACGGCGCCGTTTCACATGTCTATCTTCCTGTTTTCTATTTCCTTTTTCTTTATTATTTTTCTTGTTTTCGCCGTCGTCGTCGTCGTCTATATTTTCCTTCCCAAACCCTATTTTCAAGTTTTCGCCTTAGTTTTTATGTGATTGTTATTATTAATTCAGAAAAAAAAAAACTTTTCATTTTAGTTTTCTTTATTTCTCTCTCCATTCTCTTCCTTGGTTGGCAATGAAAAAAATCGTCCGTGGCCGTTCGGTGAGTCGCAACTCGCGAGGTTTCGGTTGGCAATGACGTAAGTATTCTTCCATGGCATGCAATTCTTGGAAAATATAAATAAATAAAAAATCCGTAAAATATATTTTTATTTATTTATAGATAGAATTAAAACAGAACTATTTTTTGGGAAATTGTTGAGATTAAGTTTTGATTTTCTTATCTGTTTGCCCCGGCATCCCTTGTATTAGAATTAGATTCTTTTTATTTTTTATTTTTTATTTTGAAGGCTAGGTTGGAAAATAATAAATATTCTAAATAAAAATGAACCCACGTGTCCACGTAATGTCTGAGCTGTCTAAAGATTACGATAGAAAAAAGAAAAGAATAAAAAAAAAGTGTAGAGATTAGAAAGGACAAAAGGATTGAGGTAGAGAAATTGATACGGTGGATTTTATTGATATTTAAATATTTTAAAAATATTTTTGAGTTCA